CTTTAAAGTCCCTTCCAACACAAACCATTCTTTAGATTCTATGATTCTATGGTTCCATGATTTTATGATTCTCCTTACTCCTATTTTTCTTGTTTAAGTATATATTAAAACAAACTTCACTGTCTTTAAAGTCAGTAGCCAGATTGAGCTCTGGTTGGGCTTTGGCCCGTCTCATTTAGTTTCTGCACAACCTCACTGTCATATAAGGGGCGTAGCCAATTTATCTTTATGGGTCCAATCGGATTCAGGGTACTGAACTTTCATGGTCGCAGATTCACCAATAACACATTAACCAACATGTGTCTAATCAGATTCAGAGCACTGAACTACCACGGTCACAGATTCACCAAAAACATGTAACCACCCTTACTCTAGTCGTGTTTAATGAGAACTATCATGGCTAGGAACACTGCAGTTAAGTACAATTTATTACAGTAACAGGTACACAGGTGTTGTGGTTTAACCCAGTCAGCAGCTAAACACCACACAGCCATTCTCTCACCTTCCCCCCTCTCTCTGGGATGGGGGAGAGAAACAGGAAATTGAAGCCTGTGAGGTGAGTTAAAGACATTGTATTAAGACAGGAAAATAATAATAACAATAATGATAATAGTACTACTAACAATAATATATACAAAACAAGTGATGCACAATGCTCTTGCTCACCACCCGCTGACCAATGCCCAGCCTAATACCGAGCCGTTCAGCCCTCCTCCCCCAGCTAGCCACCACAATATATTGTACAGCATGACATCAGATCGTATGGAATACCCCTTTGGCTAATTTGCATCAGCTGTTCTGGGTCTGTCCCCTCCCAGCTCCTGCTGCACCCCCAGCCTGCCCGCTGGCAGGACCAAGTGAGAAGCTGAAATGTCCTTGGCTTGGTGTAAGTACTGCTCTGAAACAATTAAAACATCGGGGTGTTATCAGCACTCTTCTCATCCTAAGCCAAAACATAGCATTCTACCAGCTACTAGGAAGAAAATTAACGCTGTTCTAACTGAAACCAGGACAACAAGTTCTTTGGGTTGTTGGTGATAATTTGCTGTCTGCAAAAGCAAGCTCGCATGCATGAAATACACAGGAGCACAGCCTGGAAATTAACACTTTAAAAGGCACAAAGACTCTAGAGATTTCTAAGTTTCTGCAGAGACACACAGTAAAACCAAGCATTCAAATCTCATCCAAAAGCATTCCAGTGGGAGGGGGAAGAGAGTCTCAGCCCATCACCTGATCTCAGAAATCAGGAGGTTCTTGTGATGGTATATTCCCTCGTGTAGGTATCTCCCCTGACAATGGTATATTCTTTAATATCCTCTCTCTCTTAGGCCAATTTATATTATTTTCTATCTTTTAGGTGGAGCCTGAGTGACTCTCGTCAAGCATATCTTAGTTATGATTGTTGAAAAATGTTCCCCTCCCCATTTAAAGGTATAGGCTCCGAGAAAGTCAGAGCGCATGCTCAGTGAGGGGTGGTTGCAACATGGAGGTGTGTATTTTGTGGGATGGAGGTGTGTTTTGGTACTATAATGATATTATAATGAGCAAAAGTACACTAGAGTACAATTTTTTGTCAAAAAATGACAGGTTTTTGGTTCAGGGTAGCAAAAGTGCAGCTTATCAATCTCGGTGTGCACAAGAACAACTGAGTCCCTCTCTTGTCACAGAGCCTAGCCGCGGTGTCTCCACCCTGCTCTATGCTCCATACTGTTCCTTAGAATCAGCACACCAGGTTCCCCCAGTGCGATAGCATCTAAGGTTGGAAGCCTGGAGAATGCTCAGGTAACGCAATTACATGCGACTCTGAAAGACTCTTCAATGCTGTACATCGTCCTTAAAATGTGAATATTATTTTTATGTTCCATGTTTAGGCAATCTCACCACATTCACTGCATCTTTATAGTCTTCCCGAGTGGACCTCCCCTTCTTCCAATGGTCATAAACCCTCTTTTTTCTTCCTGGCCTCTGTGCACAGTTATCTTTTCAGCCAAGTCAGTCTTCAGTTCCAGCTCATCTTTTGGTATGTGGGGATTTGTTTCCTGGAGAGTTTCCAGCCTTCCTGAAGCATCACCCACAAGTCCTTCCCAATTTATGAGTAAAGGTCCAGGGGGGTACCATCCTTCATTGTCTTACTCACCAGCTGTGTCCACACAGTCTAGAAACCCCCTAGACTGGTTTCTCTCCACAGTGTTGCACTTCCAGAAGACATATGGTATTTTGAAGTCCTCATGAGAACAAGGGCTAACAATTTTGAGCCTTCTCACATCTGTTTGTAGAATATTTTGTCTGCCTCTTTGGCCAGCTTCGATGATCTGCCAAAGACGCCCACCAGGACATCTGCCTCACTGGCCTTCCCCCTAATTCTTACCCATGAACACTCACCTCTGTCATTGCCATTATTAATCTCAAGACAGTCTAGACACTCCCAAATATACAAGGCCACCCTACTGTCTTTCCTTCCAAATCTATCCCTCCTGAAGTGTTTGTAGCCATCTGTTGCAGTGTTTTTGATTGCCCTCAGACTTCTTCTTGGAGCTTCATCACTGCCTGCCTGAAAAATCAGTAATTGTTAATAGTCAGAGGGCCAAACCAGGGCAGGGAGCTTTCTCTTCACACTCGTAATCAGGACCTCATGGATGCAGCAGACTTCCCTGAAAAGTGGGTCTGGTCTGTATATTGGTCCTGCAGTTCCCTTCAGAAGGGAGTCTCACATGACAACAAGCTATCTTTTTTTTTTTTTTTCTTGGTGGGAGCTGATTTAATGCAGGGTGCAGCTTGATATGACCTCAGTGTCACCTCCAAGCCAGACGTACCACGTTCCTTAGTATTGTCCAGATCAACCTGCAAAGCTTCATACCTATTATGCACAGGCACCTGGGAAAGTGCGGAAGTCCCTGAGGAGTACCAACCTGCCACACCATGCAGGGACTTGTTGCCACTGGCCCTTATCCTCTAGTTCAGTGCTTTCAGCCAGGTGGAGAGATGATACAGTCCTCCAACGTGTGTTTTCCTTCTCCCTGCTGGGCCTGTCTCGGGGAAGGTAGGGAGTGGCTCCAGTAGCCTGTCTCTCTCTTGGACTCCCTGGTACTCCTCAGCCTCTTCACCCATTCCCTGAGTTCTGTCACTAGGTGGAGGAGTGTCTCCACCTGGACGTCCTTCCACAGATTTGCTTGCTCGCTCTGTCCTGAGCTGGTGTGAGAGTTGGGCATACCTTGCAGCCTGACACCTGGGTGGCAGTGTGTTCCCCCTGGAGCGCTGCCTGGGAGGCTGCATTACTTTTGGGGGATGTCAAGCTCTGAGGGGCTGTGGCTTTCTGAAGGGTAGATTACATTCATCCCTGAACAAGGTGGCCAAGCGTGTGGGCCACAACATAGTTGACAAGCCACTCGCCATCATATGTGAAAAGTCATGGCAATCAGGTGAAATCCCTGTTGACTGGGAGAGAAACATCACTCCTATTTTTATAAAGGTCAGAAAGGAGGACCCAGGGAACTACAATACAGTGAGCCCCACCTCCATGCCTGGGGAGATCATGGAACAGATTTTTCCTGGAAGCAATGTCAAGGCACATGTAAGACAAGGAGGTGATCTGAGACAGCCAGCATGGCTTCACCAAGAAGGCTCTTGTGGCCTTCTCTGATGGAGTGACGGCATCAGCTGACAAGGCTCTACTTGCAGTACTTCATCTAGGTCTGGGGCCCCCAGCAAAAGAAAGATTTGGATCTCTTAGAGAGGGTGAACAGAAGTGTTGTGAAGATCATCAAAGGGCTGGAGCACCTCTTCAGCCTGTAGAATAGAAGGCTCTGCGGAGACCTTGTTGCAGCCTTTCAGGACTTCAAGGAGATCTATTAAAAAGTAAAATAAAATAGAGAGAGAGAGAGAGAGAGAGCAATTTGTACATGAGCAGATAGATATAGGACAAGGAGGAATGGTTTTAAACTAAAAAAAGGGAGATTTAGTTTAGATGTTTGGAGGGAATTAGATTTAGACGGTAAGACATTGGAAGATGTTGCCCAGTGAAGTTATGGGTATGTCATCCCTGGAAAAGTTCGAGTCATGCTTGGATGGAGCTTTGTGGGAGGAGTCCGTATGCATGTCAGAGCAGGTGGATGCAAGTGAACTCTTTTTCACTTAATCCTGTTACCTGTAATGGAATCCGTGTCCAGTATTTGGCTTTGAAGATTCTACAGGTTTTTTGCCACAGAAATGACAGATCACAAAATGTTTGATGTTGGCACGTACGTCTGGAGGTCATCTGATCAAAATCCACTGCTCAAGCAGGTGCACCTAAAGCAGATTGCCCAGGACCATATCTTCATAAAAGGATGGTTCAGGGTCAAGTTGGATGGGACCCTGGGCAACCTGATCTAAGGAGTGTCATCTCTGCCCTTGGTGCAGGATTTGTAAACAGGTGATCTTTAAGATCTCTTCCAACCAAAGCCTTCTCTGATTCAATGTTTCTATGATTCGATGAGCTGTAACCTCACATCTGCTTTGCCACCCATAGCACACCAAAATACACCACAGGCTGCAACTGTCATTAATCTTTTTTTTTTTTCCTGCTTGCAAAAGACTTTCTAATTAAACCAGCTTTTCTTGACACTGGTTCATGTTTATGAGATTTTAAACATAAAGATTAAATGAGATTTACTCTTAATCTAGTGCTTCCCAGCTTCATCCTTACAGACATCTTCAGTTCCTTGCTTGCTCTTGCCCAATGATCTCTTGAGGTCCCTTCAACTATGACTCTGATTCGGTATTTTTGTGATTTTGTGATTCTGATAATGGCTTTGCATTTGAAACAGAAAAAAAAATATATTATATCTGGGCTATAATCAGAGCTGTCTGGCACTCCTATAATATCCTTCCAGTGTGTCTTCAGTACCTTCCATGGTGAACAATGAAAGATCTTCACTTAGGGAAAGAGTAAGCATATCATGATTGTGAGAACAGAGAGTGGAAAATAATGATACTGGTTTGGCTATGGTCAAATTCCCTTTAGCAATCACATTTCTTAACTTGGCAAAACTTTCTACCACACATCTAGAACAATAGACCACTTTTGCACAAATATATATCACAAGTATTTCAGTGACCTGAAATCCAGGTCTTCCTACAGAAACGGATCAGAGAAAGTTTAGCAAGTAGTGGTGAAACCATCTTTTATTAATTAGCTTTTGGGTTTTAATTTGGTGGCAAAAAGCATGGGGTTAAATACAATGGAGTCAGAACCAAGGCTCTGGATTTCAACCATGCATTAGCTGAGCATTCTCAATTTGTCCCTTCACTTCTCATCGTCATCAAACCCCTGGGCTATTTGTAGAGGCTCAGTGTCAACCTGTGTTGCAGTGGGACCTGTTGAGAAGAAAGGAAAGAGCTTCATTTCCTGGCTGCAGTCATTATGAAAGGAAAAAATATACAAAGCATTCTTCTGGTGGACATTGTAAAATAACAGCTTCTTGGCTGAGATATCCAGGAAGATCCCAATCTTCCTGAACACTGTTTGGACTTGTGGTGGTTTTACGTGGGTAGGTAGCTATTTCACATAGTGGTTGTTTGGGAGGATAGATGCTTCCACAGTAACAGCCCATCGCTGCTTCCCCTTTCCCACCTTATAGTGCTGAGTGAGACATCATATGGCATGGAATATCCCCTTGGTTGGTTAAGGTCAGCTGCCCTAATGATGTCCCCTCCCTATCACTAGCCCAATGATCTCTTGAGGTCCCTTCCAACCCCTACAACTCTGATTCTGTGATTTTGTGATTCTGATATTGGCTTTCCATTTGAAACAGAAAAAAAATATATATTATATCTCAGCTATGATCAGAGCTGTCTGGCACTCCTATGATATCCTTCCAGTGTGTCTTCAGTACCTCCCATGGGGCACAGCAGGCTGGGAGGCTAGCTGAAAGAACTGGGACAAGTGAAAATCCAAATAATTTCCCTAAGAGACCGCTTCACAGTGTCTTTATTGTCAACATTTGCACTTGCGTCTGCATTGTGCTTGTCAGGGCTGGGAGTCAAGGCTCGTGATCTGGGGGTGTGCACTTGCTGCAGACAATAAGAAATTATCCCTTCTGCTGAACATATGCAGGCACTTCAAAGGAAAAATAGCTGCCCTCAGGGAAAGAACCTCAAGGCCACAAACAAGCATCACATTTATTGAGGTCTGGGATCTCTAGTAAGAGTGCTTCCTGAATCAAAAAGCATCAGTTAACTAGCTGCAAGGGATTTCTAGAAGATTGTTGTTATATGGGAACCTAACAATCTGGGCAGGAACGGCTTTGAATCCCCCTTGATCAGCAGATTATCAGTAAGAAGAAGAAAGACAGAACACCATCAGAGCACTCAGCATCACAGGAAAAAATCACTCTTTCTTACTTCGTTTCGTATTTTTTTCCCAGCACAATACTACATCCCAAAACAAGGAGGGTAGGACTGTGTTTCACAAAGCCTCTCAAGAAACTGGTAACAAGTCGGGCAAGAGACCTTCAGGAAGCAGAGCATACTTGCAAAAGGCATAGAACGATCTGCCATGACAGGTGACCATCTAGAAACAGAATTCAGAAGTATTTTTGGGAAGGTTTGGTTCAGTTCATTAGAATGCTCCCCCACTCTAGAACAGTAGACCACTTTTGCACAAATATATATCACAAGTATTTCAGTGACCTGAAATCCAGGTCTTCCTACAGAAGTGGATCAGAGAAGGCTTAGCAAGTAGTGGTGAAACCATCTTTTATGAATTAGTGTTTAGGTTTTAATTTGGTGGCAAAAAGCATGGGGTTAAATACAACGTAGTCAGAACCAAGGCTCTGGATTTCAACCATGAATTAGCTGTACATTCTCACTTTGTCTCTTCACTTATCATCATCATCAAACCCCTGGGCTATTTGTAGAGGCTCAGTGTCAACCTGTGTTGCAGTGGGACCTGTTGAGAAGAAAGGAAACAGCTTCATTTCCTGGTTTTGGCTACTATCAAAGGAAAAAGTGTATAAAACATTCTTCTGGTGGACATTGTAAAATAACAGCTTCTTGGCTGAGATATCCAGGAAGATCCCAATCTTACGTGGTTTACCACCCACAGTCAAACGGGTCCAAGGATCTGTGTAAGCCCAATAGTCTTGCCCATCTGACAACCCTATGGCCCAGAAGCCATTCTGAGGAAAAAGATCCAAAGTGCCTTTGCGTGTCACAGCCTCCCTGGGCAACACCCAAGATCCAGTTTCTCCTCTTTCCAACATCCACTTCCCAGTAGAGTCTCCCAGATGCATAACCTTCCTTTGCCAACACAAAAGTGTGGGAATCAAATCTCTCCTTCTTGCTATGCACCCTTCTGATTGCACCAGTGTCAGTTACACTCTTCCGTCTTTTGACACTTCCAGCCTCGGATGAGCCGTGTCAGCATCAAGGGTGACATCAACTGCAATAGTCAAGTCATTTGTTAAGTAGGAAAGAGCAAAAGATCACTGTTTTGAAGCTTTCTCTTTGTTGACATTTTGCATTTATTATTCTCCTACCATGTCTTGATCTCCACTTTGATAGGCCCTAGGAAGTTGCTTTGACCAGGACCCCCCTCACCTTCTGCCATCTCAGATCTCCTATGTCCCATCTATGGCACACTGAGAGAGAGGCAATATTCAGCAAATTTAACGCTCATAGAGACACTTCCCTGAAAATGGCATGTAGCTTCAAAACGGAATGTAAGGAGATTACAAGCCTTTGCCTTAATCACTGGAGCTGTATAGAGGTGATGACCGGATAAGAGGCATGCTTACATACAGAACTTGTTTTGAGTAAAACTAGGACCACAACATCCTCTTGTATGAGAATGGGGAGAAATTCTATTGGTCAAGACTGGCACATGCACCATGTTATCACACACTTGGCAGTAGAAAAGCTGGAGCTAAACACCCTGAAATGATCCTCTCCTTCTTTCAAAGTGCAACACGGTTTCTTCTGGAGAAGAAATTATATTACGTTCCAGAAGCAGTAAACAATGGCCTTGCAGAGTTTCCAGGACACCAAATGAATAAGAGAGATTCGGAAACAAATTTTGCTGTTATGCTTTTAGTTTCATAACTGTTACCTGAGAAGGGCAAGTTTTTTAAAGAACTGCATTGAAGATCCAAGTAGTGGAATTCAGCAAGTTTTGTTCTCATTTCTTACCTTTGTACCGCTGTGCATGCAGCAGTTCTGTGGAAAACAAGAAAAGGATGCAAAGGGTGTTTTTCAGGAGACCAAGCGTCCAATGACTTATATAACAGCCTATGCTGTTGGTATAAGACCATGCTCTTCTACAATAGCGTGTCTCTTCTACAGGTCAGAAAGCTAATCAGAACGCTATTTAACTTTCCATGGTAAAGAAGAAAAAAACAAACGAGGAAAACAACTGTTTATATACATCAGGCATAGATAATCAGGAAGTCCACAGTTTCTGTTAGTGGAGCCCTGCAGCACCAAAATGAAAAGGTGAAAGACAGTCTACAAGTGGCTAGGGGGCACTGCCTTGGCAAATCCAAAGCTAAAGAGCACCAGCTGGAACAGCGAGACCAAGGCACGGACAGGTGCCTGGAAAAGCCGTCCTCATGATCTCCAATGACTGTATTTCCACACAGAGAAGCTGAAAGATACTTGGACTCTGGGCAGTACAACATCAAGAGCCAACATTGGAAGAACCCCACTATCCTCCAGGATGCTCACTATATCTCAGGGCAATGGCCCTGACTGGCACACACAGCCTGCATCTTTGCTGCCTCTAAGGCTATGCCAGCTTCATGCCTTTGCTAGCTGTTGAGGTGCTGAAGGACACAGCAGCTCTCCTTGGCCAGACACTTGCACATCAGAAGCTGCAGTAGCCCTAAAACAACACCACTAAACAGTCTTGCTGCCTCACACTGCGAATTCAACCTGCAGTTCTCTATGGCCCAGAGCTTGGCATTCACTTTCCTCAGGGCTACTTCCTCTCCTGAGGTGCTGCTTTAAGCCTTGGCTCAGCATCAAGATCATTGAGCTTTCACAAGGAAGCCCACTAAACAACGGGGTCCCAATGGTATAAGACCATCACAGAATCTGCTCTGATTGCATGCTTGGACAAAAAATAGACCAGGATTGCTCCATCCCTGATACTTCCACCCTCCACTTACCTTTAGTGATAGTTTTAATCTTTCCAAATACATGCAATCAGGGTCAATGAACATTTTTTTTTATAAATGTTTAAAAATTTAAAAATAGTATCCATAAGTTAAACATCAAGATTATGGGAGCAGGAGATTCCTCCAAGCAAGTGTCTCCAGTTTCTGACAGGAATTACACTCCACCCGAAGGAAACAGGGCTGCTCACTGGACCAGGCTCTCCAGCTCCAGCCACCACTTCTCAGGCTTCCCTCCAAATCCCTTTCCCTCACTCTTGCTTGTGTTCCAAAGACTCCTCCACACAGGTCCACTATACCATGTCCCAAAAAACTACACATCAGCTGTTGTGCTTGGCCTTCAGGCAGACAGACACGCTTACCGTTCTCCTTCTTCAGGGACTCTGCAAGAAGAGTGAGAAGGAAGACACAATGCTTAGTATCCTGTCCCAAAAAAGGTCTGGTGGAAGAGAATGGGAAGCCTTCAGCAAGCCACACTCATCCTCCACCAGCACCTGCACCCAGCCACTGCTGCCCCATGCACAGAGGCACGGGAGCAGCACTCTGCACACACTCACCCATGTCTGCATCCCCCTGCATCCTGCCTGGTGCCTGCAGCTCCTCTGCAAATACAAGTGAGGAGAAAGAAGAGAAATGAGGGCTGTGCCAGGCAGGAGCTGCTGCCAACAGGGGGAACAAGAGATCCCTTGTTCTGGCAGTATAGCATCCATCTCCAATTGGGAGATCCCCACCCCACTATCCTCTCTGCTGCTCCCCACAGTCTACTCCACCAACCCTGTACAGGCAGGACTACCCTGGGCACTGAGGAATGGTCCCATGTCCATACCAAAACTTCTCTACACTTTCCTTCTGGTTCACACCTGGACAGGATCCCAGCTGCTCTCTACTTCCCAGGGGACAGTGATCCCCTTCCCTGGTTTTGTTTTCCCTCACAGTTTCATGCATATAGTCTTCTCTCAGCCATAATGACACTGAGCTTTCACTAGGGAACCCATTCTGAATCAACATCCTTAACATTATGAGAAAATCCATCAGTCATGTCAAATGAACAGTGGGGAAAAGAAAGCCCAGGTGCCCAGGAGAGGCCCAACCTCGCACGGTCCTCATTCCACAATGGAGCTTGATTCCATGGGCATCTATGGACATTACATACTGAACACCTACACCTATCAATCTTCCTCTGGCGTTTATTGAAATGAAAAATAAATAAAAATAAAATAAAATAAATAAAATAAAATAAATAATAAAATAAAATAAAATAAAAAATAAATAAAATAAATAAATAAAACAAAAAATAATAGTAATAAACAGTTCTTTCAAGTTCCCTTCTTCCCAGGGAATGGTGTTCTCTTTCCTTGAGGTTCTTTTCTCACCAGTTGCCCTGATTCACCAGTTAATTGGGCAATAGCTACAATCTATATTCTGAAGTCAACATTTCTCTGATCTGCTTCTGCTGTCTCCTGTCAGTAATTCCTACCATCCCTGCTGAATGCATGCTGTGGTAGGAGAACAGCCTTGACTGATAGGTGAGGAACCCTAGTAGAATCACCTCTCCCATTCAGAGCTCTCCCTTTGTACGTCAATTATATGTGCTATATACTCAGACTTATCAGTCTGAGACTATCTATCTCATTCTATCCCATTCTCCCTGCTTTGGTCTGTGATATCACACCCATCAGGACCATTTCTAGCACAGGACAGAATATCTTCTGTAAGGGGAAAGGTCTCAGGGAACTGTAAATTTGTCTTGCTTATAGTACCACCGCGGTACACTGCCATTGTCGCCTGTGAGGAATAGACTTGACTGTTACCTTTTAGAAAGGACCTAGAAGAGACAGGTCTTATTTCAATGCACAGCCTTACAGCATATTGTAGCATAAAACATGCAGATTGTGACCTGTGGTTTGTTTTTTTATCTTTCATCCCAAAAGGACACGTTGCTGGTGAGATGGTGTAATGAGGACAGAATCACAAATGCACACAAGGACTGATGGGGCACTCCTTATCCAAAGGAAGAGAAGCAGAGCTGAGTCCAGACATGTACTTCTAGCACTTTCCTGAGCCTCTCATCCTCCTGTGCTAATTCCCTCTGTGAATTGTGGGTGCCTTGAACTGGAAGACCATGATGGTGGGAATGACAGACTCCCAACCAACCCAGAACATGTGCGGGATTTGCTGCTCTGCCTGGATTCATACAAGTCCATGGGTCCAGGTGCTTAAAGAGCTGGCTGATGTCATCGCGGGACCTCTCTCAATTATTTTTTCAACAATCTTGGGAATCTGGAGAGGTCCCAGTGGACGGAAGCTGGCAAATGTTGTGCCAATTTTCAAGAAGGGTAAAAGAAGACCCTAGCAATTACAGGCCTGTCAGTCTCACGACAGTGCCTGGTAAATTCTGAAGATGAGTCTTGAAGTTACTGAGGCGCACCTTGGGAAAATGCATCACTGGTCCCAGCCAACATGGGTTCCTGAGGGGTAGGTCCTCCCTAACAAATCTGATTTCCTTTTCTGATAAGATCACCCATCTAGTCGATCAAGGAAACCAGCTGATGTCATCTGTTTGGACTTCAGCAAGGGTTTTGACACAGTTTCCCATAGGATCCTACTGGATAAAATGTCCAGCATACAGTTAAACCAAAACATCATACTATGGGTGAGCCATTGGCTGATGGGCTGGGCTCAAAGGGTTGTGGTTAATGGGGCACTTCTGGCTGGCAGATGGTCAATAGTGGGGTCCCTAAAGGCTCCATTTTAGGGCCAATCCTCTTCAACATTTTATAAAAGATTTGGATGCAGGACTAGAAGGTGTTCTGAGCAAATTTGCTGATGACATAAAACTTGGAGGAGTTGTGGACTCTGATGAGGGTGGAAAGGCCTTGCAGAGAGACCTGGACAGATTGGAGAGCTGGGAGATCATCAACCAATGAAGTTTAACAAAGCAAGTGACAGATCCTGCACCTGGGATGGGCAACCGTACTGTGACTTTATGTATAGACTGGCAAAGAGACACTGGAGAGCAGCCCTGCAGAGAGGGATCTGGGATTGTGTTGACAGCAAGGTGAATATGAGCCAGCAGTGTGCCCTGGAAGCCAGGAGAGTCAACCGAATCCTGGGGTGCATCAAGCACGGCATTGCTAGTTGGTCGAGGGAGGTGATTGTCCCGCTATACTCAGCGCTGCTGCGGCCTCACCTCGAGTACTGTGTGCAGTTCTGGGCACCACAGTACAAAAATGACATAAAACTGTTGGAGAGTGTCCAGAGGAGGGCAACAAAGATGATGAAGGGCCTAGAGGGAAGATGGCTGAGGAACAGCTGAGGTCACTAGGTCTGTTCAGCCTGGAGAAGAGGAGGCTGAGGGGGGACCTACTTGCGGTCTACAACTTCCTCACGAGGGGGATTGGAGAGGCAGGTGACTTATTCTCTCTAAACACCAGTGATAGGACCCACAGGAATGTGTTATGCTGAAGCAAGGGAAGATAAGGCTGGACATCAGGAAGAGGTTCTTCACTGAGAGGGTGGTTGCACTCTGGAACAGGCTCCGCAGTGAAGTAGCCACTTCACCAAACCTGTCTGAATTTAAAAAGCAGTTGGACTGTGCATTTAGTCACATGGTCTAAACTTTTGGGTAGACCTGTGCGGTGCCAGGAGTTGGACTTGATGATCCTTATGGGTCCCTTCCAAATCGGGATATTCTATGAGTCTATGTTTCCCTTACATTTGCCTGTATGAATTGAGTGCCAGAGGAATACAGAAAACACAGACACCCTATGATCCTGCCTGATAGGTCTTCCAGGTAAAATGGAGACTAGGAATTGCCTACTCCATCTCTCTCCAGGCACGTTTGGTGGGCTGTGGGAGAGAAGACTGTATGTTGATGAGGAAGATGAGTAAGTGAAAGGGAGAAACAGTAGTGGGATGTTAAGGTCAATGTTCCTACAGCCCAACAGAGACCTTCACCAAAGCTACAGATCACTGAGAGCTCATCAAAAACACTCCCTTGAAAAAAGTGGGAGAGACCTTTACAACCTGAAGACACCATATTGGCATTGGAACTGTTTCAACGGTGAGGGACACTTGGGAACACTCTCCCCCAAAGAAAGGCCTGTATTTCTTGATCACATTCTAGGAGAAAGTGAGGGCTTTCTCACTGAATGATGAAAGATAATTTTGGCTTTTAGGGAGTCTGCCTGCTTGCAAATTACTGTGCTCACCTTGTTCACTGTCTATCTTCAGCAGGTTCTCCTCAGACCACGACGTCTTTGCTGCCTCCAAATCCTTGCTTATTTTGCCCTGCGTCTCTCCTTTGAGGATCTCAAGGTCTTGCTTTCTGGATGCCTCCGTGTTTTGCAAAGATGTCGTCAGAGATTGCATTTGTTCAGAGATTGCCTGCAGGGAAGTCTGGGTGTTGGCCAGTTCCTCCGGAGGTGGGGCTGCGTGCTGTGAGACTTCCACTTGGCTCTGCAACACAGCCAGCTTCTCAGTCAGAATCCTCTCCATCTCCTCCCGCATGGATTCCAGCGCCCTTGCGGTGTTTCTGTCCACGGTCCTTCCTGCAAAGAAAAGAGAGGAGCCACTGGGAAACTGACATTGCTTCCTGGCAAGTGCGTCCTTATCTTTCTAAAGGGGGAGAGCACTTCATCTTAGAAAAGTCAGAGAAAATGCTCTTATCATTTCAGTGCGAAGGTGGATTCTCATTGTAGCATGAAACGTTCAGTTCCTGAGATGTTTTTTCCACACAAGGGATACTGATCGTTTTGGGAGGAGGGAATCCACACAAGGGCTGAGAGGGCACTACTTAGCCGCAGCAAGAGAAGTGGGGCTTACCAAAGGACTGAACACTAGTTCCCTCCCCTACAGTCGCTTCCTAGGCCTTTCAGTCCCTCACAGCATTCTCCCTTACAAGTGACTCCTTCTCCATAGTCCGTGCTATTTGGGCTCTGGATGGAGGAGGAGGACAGAATGGAGAAGGTCCTTGCACCGTCCAAGCCTTGGTTTGCATAGACTGAATTCCAGAGGGATGGGCAAGGAGAAGAGGCTCCGGGACCCTGCCCGAAGGCTTGTCAGCGTGTTGCTGGGTGGGATGGAGGGCAGAAACTGCTCCACGGCATCCCTCCAGGCAGGATCTGTGGTCCGTGGGTGGGATGACTCTTTGTTGATGAGCAATGTGAGTGAGAAAGAGAGGGACGGTGTCGGAGCCTGGAGGTGGACGTTCCTAGAACCCCACCTGCAACTTTCACCACGTGCAGGCATCATAGATAAACTACCAAGCCAAATCCCTTTAAAGAAGAGGGAGAGAAGAAACAGCCTTACCACCAGCAGGCACTACCCTGTCATGGGGCTGTGTCAGTGGAGTGGGACACAAGACCTCTCCCAAAGAAAGGGCTGTCCTTCTCACTACCATGGGGGAACTCTGGAGGCTAGCTCATTCAGTGGTGTCACCGAATGACACCATTGGCCTTCAGAAGGCCACCCAGCTTTTGGCTGGCCTAGGTTAACTGTCTTCATTGGAGCTGGTACGACGTGGTGTTTTGGTTTTGTGATGAAAATGTTGTTGTTAACTGGCGGATGATTTAGTTGTTCTGGGCAGTGCTTCCCAACGGTCAAGGGCCCCTCTGCTTGTCATCATGCTCTGCCAGGGACGGTGTTGGGGGTGCCCAAGCTGCAGTGGGGGAACACAGCCAGGACAGCAGACCCCAGCTGCCCAAAGGGATCCCATACGACACCTTGCTCAGCAATAAAAGCTGGGGTGAAGAAGGAGGAAGGGGAGACATTCACAGTTTTGGCACTGGTCTTCCCCGTGAAGTACCGCCTCTGGTGGAGCCCTGCTTTCCTTGTGACGGCAGAACATCTGCCCAGCAGTCAGAAGCAGTGAACGGCTTCTGAATTTTGCTTTGCTTGTGCTTGCAGCAGATGTCTTGCCTTGCCTATTAAACTGTCTATATCTCAACCCATGTGCTTTCTCACTCTTACCTTTCCACTTCCCTCCCCCATCCTCTTAGAGGAAGATGACGGAGCAGCTGTGTAGTGTTTCACTGCCCACTGGAGTTAAACCGCAGGTCAAAGGCTTCTTTGGGGATTGTCGAGCTCACCTAGTTTATTGTCGATCTCCAGCAGGTTCTCCTCAGACCACGACGTCTTTGCTGCCTCCAAATCCTTGCTTATTTTAGCCTGCATCTCTGCTCTGAGGACCTCAAGGTCTTGCTTTCTAGAAGCCTCTATGTTGTGCAAAGATGTCGTCAGAGATTGCATTTGTTCAGAGATTGCCTGCAGGGAAGTCTGGGTGTTGGCCAGTTCCTCCGGAGGTGGGGCTGCGTGCTGTGAGACTTCCACTTGGCTCTGCAACACAGCCAGCTTCTCAGTCAGAATCCTCTCCATCTCCTCCCGCATGGATTCCAGCGCCCTTGCGGTGTTTCTGTCCACGGTCCTTCCTGCAAAGGAAGAGAGGAGCCACTGGGAAACTGACATTGCTTCCTGGCAAGTGCGTCCTTATTTCTAAAGGGGGAGAGCACTTCATCTTAGAAAAGTCAGAGAAAATGCTCTTATCATTTCAGTGCGAAGGTGGATTCTCATTGTAGCATGAAACGTTCAGTTCCTGAGATGTTTTTTCCACACAAGGGATACTGATCGTTTTGGGAGGAGGGAATCACACAAGGGCTGAGAGGGCACTACTTAGCCGCAGCAAGAGAAGTGGGGCTTACCAAAGGACTGAACACTAGTTCCCTCCCCTACAGTCGCTTCCTAGGCCTTTCAGTCCCTCACAGCATTCTCCCTTACAAGTGACTCCTTCTCCATAGTCCGTGCTATTTGGGCTCTGGATGGAGGAGGAGGACAGAATGGAGAAGGTCCTTGCACCGTCCAAGCCTTGGTTTGCATAGACTGAATTCCAGAGGGATGGGCAAGGAGAAGAGGCTCCGGGACCCTGCCCGAAGGCTTGTCAGCGTGTTGCTGGGTGGGATGGAGGGCAGAAACTGCTCCACGGCATCCCTCCAGGCAGGATCTGTGGTCCGTGGGTGGGATGACTCTTTGTTGATGAGCAATGTGAGTGAGAAAGAGAGGGACGGTGTCGGAGCCTGGAGGTGGACGTTCCTAGAACCCCACCTGCAACTTTCACCACGTGCAGGCATCATAGATAAACTACCAAGCCAAATCCCTTTAAAGAAGAGGGAGAGAAGAAACAGCCTTACCACCAGCAGGCACTACCCTGTCATGGGGCTGTGTCAGTGGAGTGGGACACAAGACCTCTCCCAAAGAAAGGGCTGTCCTTCTCACTACCATGGGGGAACTCGAGACTAGCTCATTCAGTGGTGTCACCGAATGACACCATTGGCCTTCAGAAGGCCACCCAGCTTTTGGCTGGCCTAGGTTAACTGTCTTCATTGGAGCTGGTACGACGTGGTGTTTTGGTTTTGTGATGAAAATGTTGTTGTTAACTGGCGGATGATTTAGTTGTTCTGGGCAGTGCTTCCCAACGGTCAAGGGCCCCTCTGCTTGTCATCATGCTCTGCCAGGGACGGTGTTGGGGGTGCCCAAGCTGCAGTGGGGGAACACAGCCAGGACAGCAGACCCCAGCTGCCCAAAGGGATCCCATACGACACCTTGCTCAGCAATAAAAGCTGGGGTGAAGAAGGAGGAAGGGGAGACATTCACAGTTTTGGCACTGGTCTTCCCGTGAAGTACCGCCTCTGGTGGAGCCCTGCTTTCCTTGTGACGGCAGAACATCTGCCCAGCAGTCAGAAGCAGTGAACGGCTTCTGAATTTTGCTTTGCTTGTGCTTGCAGCAGATGTCTTGCCTTGCCTATTAAACTGTCTATATCTCAACCCATGTGCTTTCTCACTCTTACCTTTCCACTTCCCTCCCCCATCCTCTTAGAGGAAGATGACGGAGCAGCTGTGTAGTGTTTCACTGCCCACTGGAGTTAAACCGCAGGTCAAAGGCTTCTTTGGGGATTGTCGAGCTCACCTAGTTTATTGTCGATCTCCAGCAGGTTCTCCTCAGACCACGACGTCTTTGCTGCCTCCAAATCCTTGCTTATTTTAGCCTGCATCTCTGCTCTGAGGACCTCAAGGTCTTGCTTTCTAGATGCCTCTATGTTGTGCAAAGATGTCGCCAGAGATTGCATTTGTTCAGAGATTGCCTGCAGGGAAGTCTGGGTGTTGGCCAGTTCCTCCGGAGGTGGGGCTGCGTGCTGTGAGACTTCCACTTGGCTCTGCAACACAGCCAGCTTCTCAGTCAGAATCCTCTCCATCTCCTCCCGCATGGATTCCAGCGCCCTTGCGGTGTTTCTGTCCACGGTCCTTCCTGCAAAGGAAGAGAGGAGCCACTGGGAAACTGACATTGCTTCCTGGCAAGTGCGTCCTTATCTTTCTAAAGGGGGAGAGCACTTCATCTTAGAAAAGTCAGAGAAAATGCTCTTATCATTTCAGTGCGAAGGTGGATTTCATTGTAGCATGAAACGTTCAGTTCCTGAGATGTTTTTTCCACACAAGGGATACTGATCGTTTTGGGAGGAGGGAATTCACACAAGGGCTGAGAGGGCACTACTTAGCCGCAGCAAGAGAAGTGGGGCTTACCAAAGGACAGAACACTAGTTCCCTCCCCTACAGTCGCTTCCTAGGCCTTTCAGTCCCTCACAGCATTCTCCCTTACAAGTGACTCCTTCTCCATAGTCCGTGCTATTTGGGCTCTGGATGGAGGAGGAGGACAGAATGGAGAAGGTCCTTGCACCGTCCAAGCCTTGGTTTGCATAGACTGAATTCCAGAGGGATGGGCAAGGAGAAGAGGCTCCGGGACCCTGCCCGAAGGCTTGTCAGCGTGTTGCTGGGTGGGATGGAGGGCAGAAACTGCTCCACGGCATCCCTCCAGGCAGGATCTGTGGTCCGTGGGTGGGATGACTCTTTGTTGATGAGCAATGTGAGTGAGAAAGAGAGGGACGGTGTCGGAGCCTGGAGGTGGACGTTCCTAGAACCCCACCTGCAACTTTCACCACGTGCAGGCATCATAGATAAACTACCAAGCCAAATCCCTTTAAAGAAGAGGGAGAAAGAAACAGCCTTACCACCAGCAGGCACTACCCTGTCATGGGGCTGTGTCAGTGGAGTGGGACACAAGACCTCTCCCAAAGAAAGGGCTGTCCTTCTCACTACCATGGGGGAACTCGAGACTAGCTCATTCAGTGGTGTCACCGAATGACACCATTGGCCTTCAGAAGGCCACCCAGCTTTTGGCTGGCCTAGGTTAACTGTCTTCATTGGAGCTGGTACGACGTGGTGTTTTGGTTTTGTGATGAAAATGTTGTTGTTAACTGGCGGATGATTTAGTTGTTCTGGGCAGTGCTTCCCAACGGTCAAGGGCCCCTCTGCTTGTCATCATGCTCTGCCAGGGACGGTGTTGGGGGTGCCCAAGCTGCAGTGGGGGAACACAGCCAGGACAGCAGACCCCAGCTGCCCAAAGGGATCCCATACGACACCTTGCTCAGCAATAAAAGCTGGGGTGAAGAAGGAGGAAGGGGAGACATTCACAGTTTTGGCACTGGTCTTCCCCGTGAAGTACCGCCTCTGGTGGAGCCCTGCTTTCCTTGTGACGGCAGAACATCTGCCCAGCAGTCAGAAGCAGTGAACGGCTTCTGAATTTTGCTTTGCTTGTGCTTGCAGCAGATGTCTTGCCTTGCCTATTAAACTGTCTATATCTCAACCCATGTGCTTTCTCACTCTTACCTTTCCACTTCCCTCCCCCATCCTCTTAGAGGAAGATGACGGAGCAGCTGTGTAGTGTTTCACTGCCCACTGGAGTTAAACCGCAGGTCAAAGGCTTCTTTGGGGATTGTCGAGCTCACCTAGTTTATTGTCGATCTCCAGCAGGTTCTCCTCAGACCACGACGTCTTTGCTGCCTCCAAATCCTTGCTTATTTTAGCCTGCATCTCTGCTCTGAGGACCTCAAGGTCTTGCTTTCTAGAAGCCTCTATGTTGTGCAAAGATGTCGCAGAGATTGCATTTGTTCAGAGATTGCCTGCAGGGAAGTCTGGGTGTTGGCCAGTTCCTCCGGAGGTGGGGCTGCGTGCTGTGAGACTTCCACTTGGCTCTGCAACACAGCCAGCTTCTCAGTCAGAATCCTCTCCATCTCCTCCCGCATGGATTCCAGCGCCCTTGCGGTGTTTCTGTCCACGGTCCTTCCTGCAAAGGAAGAGAGGAGCCACTGGGAAACTGACATTGCTTCCTGGCAAGTGCGTCCTTATCTTTCTAAAGGGGGAGAGCACTTCATCTTAGAAAAGTCAGAGAAAATGCTCTTATCATTTCAGTGCGAAGGTGGATTTTCATTGTAGCATGAAACGTTCAGTTCCTGAGATGTTTTTTCCACACAAGGATACTGATCGTTTTGGAGGAGGGAATTCACACACAGGGCTGAGAGGGCACTACTTAGCCGCAGCAAGAGAAGTGGGGCTTACCAAAGGACTGAACACTAGTTCCCTCCCCTACAGTCGCTTCCTAGGCCTTTCAGTCCCTCACAGCATTCTCCCTTACAAGTGACTCCTTCTCCATAGTCCGTGCTATTTGGGCTCTGGATGGAGGAGGAGGACAGAATGGAGAAGGTCCTTGCACCGTCCAAGCCTTGGTTTGCATAGACTGAATTCCAGAGGGATGGGCAAGGAGAAGAGGCTCCGGGACCCTGCCCGAAGGCTTGTCAGCGTGTTGCTGGGTGGGATGGAGGGCAGAAACTGCTCCACGGCATCCCTCCAGGCAGGATCTGTGGTCCGTGGGTGGGATGACTCTTTGTTGATGAGCAATGTGAGTGAGAAAGAGAGGGACGGTGTCGGAGCCTGGAGGTGGACGTTCCTAGAACCCCACCTGCAACTTTCACCACGTGCAGGCATCATAGATAAACTACCAAGCCAAATCCCTTTAAAGAAGAGGGAGAGAAGAAACAGCCTTACCACCAGCAGGCACTACCCTGTCATGGGGCTGTGTCAGTGGAGTGGGACACAAGACCTCTCCCAAAGAAAGGGCTGTCCTTCTCACTACCATGGGGGAACTCGAGACTAGCTCATTCAGTGGTGTCACCGAATGACACCATTGGCCTTCAGAAGGCCACCCAGCTTTTGGCTGGCCTAGGTTAACTGTCTTCATTGGAGCTGGTACGACGTGGTGTTTTGGTTTTGTGATGAAAATGTTGTTGTTAACTGGCGGATGATTTAGTTGTTCTGGGCAGTGCTTCCCAACGGTCAAGGGCCCCTCTGCTTGTCATCATGCTCTGCCAGGGACGGTGTTGGGGGTGCCCAAGCTGCAGTGGGGAACACAGCCAGGACAGCAGACCCCAGCTGCCCAAAGGGATCCCATACGACACCTTGCTCAGCAATAAAAGCTGGGGTGAAGAAGGAGGAAGGGGAGACATTCACAGTTTTGGCACTGGTCTTCCCCGTGAAGTACCGCCTCTGGTGGAGCCCTGCTTTCCTTGTGACGGCAGAACATCTGCCCAGCAGTCAGAAGCAGTGAACGGCTTCTGAATTTTGCTTTGCTTGTGCTTGCAGCAGATGTCTTGCCTTGCCTATTAAACTGTCTATATCTCAACCCATGTGCTTTCTCACTCTTACCTTTCCACTTCCCTCCCCCATCCTCTTAGAGGAAGATGACGGAGCAGCTGTGTAGTGTTTCACTGCCCACTGGAGTTAAACCGCAGGTCAAAGGCTTCTTTGGGGATTGTCGAGCTCACCTAGTTTATTGTCGATCTCCAGCAGGTTCTCCTCAGACCACGACGTCTTTGCTGCCTCCAAATCCTTGCTTATTTTAGCCTGCATCTCTGCTCTGAGGACCTCAAGGTCTTGCTTTCTAGATGCCTCTATGTTGTGCAAAGATGTCGCCAGAGATTGCATTTGTTCAGAGATTGCCTGCAGGGAAGTCTGGGTGTTGGCCAGTTCCTCCGGAGGTGGGGCTGCGTGCTGTGAGACTTCCACTTGCTCTGCAACACAGCCAGCTTCTCAGTCAGAATCCTCTCCATCTCCTCCCGCATGGATTCCAGCGCCCTTGCGGTGTTTGTCCACGGTCCTTCCTGCAAAGGAAGAGAGGAGCCACTGGAAACTGACATTGCTTCCTGGCAAGTGCGTCCTTATCTTTCTAAAGGGGGAGAGCACTTCATCTTAGAAAAGTCAGAGAAAATGCTCTTATCATTTCAGTGCGAAGGTGGATTTCATTGTAGCATGAAACGTTCAGTTCCTGAGATGTTTTTTCCACACAAGGGATACTGATCGTTTTGGGAGGAGGGAATCACACAAGGGCTGAGAGGGCACTACTTAGCCGCAGCAGAGAAGTGGGGCTTACCAAAGGACTGAACACTAGTTCCCTCCCCTACAGTCGCTTCCTAGGCCTTTCAGTCCCTCACAGCATTCTCCCTTACAAGTGACTCCTTCTCCATAGTCCGTGCTATTTGGGCTCTGGATGGAGGAGGAGGACAGAATGGAGAAGGTCCTTGCACCGTCCAAGCCTTGTTTTGCATAGACTGAATTCCAGAGGATGGGCAAGGAGAAGAGCTCCGGGACCCTGCCCGAAGGCTTGTCAGCGTGTTGCTGGGTGGGATGGAGGGCAGAAACTGCTCCACGGCATCCCTCCAGGCAGGATCTGTGGTCCGTGGTGGGATGACTCTTTGTTGATGAGCAATGTGAGTGAGAAAGAGAGGACGGTGTCGGAGCCTGGAGGTGGACGTTCTAGAACCCCACCTGCAACTTTCACCACGTGCAGGCATCATAGATAAACTACCAAGCAAATCCCTTTAAAGAAGAGGGAGAGAAGAAACAGCCTTACCACCAGCAGGCACTACCCTGTCATGGGGCTGTGTCAGTGGAGTGGACACAAGACCTCTCCCAAAGAAAGGCTGTCCTTCTCACTACCATGGGGGAACTCGAGACTAGCTCATTCAGTGGTGTCACCGAATGACACCATTGGCCTTCAGAAGGCCACCCAGCTTTTGGCTGGCCTAGGTTAACTGTCTTCATTGGAGCTGGTACGACGTGTGTTTTGGTTTTGTGATGAAAATGTTGTTGTTAACTGGCGGATGATTTAGTTGTTCTGGGCAGTGCTTCCCAACGGTCAAGGGCCCTCTGCTTGTCATCATGCTCTGCCAGGGACGGTGTTGGGGGTGCCAAGCTGCAGTGGGGGAACAACAGCCAGGACAGCAGACCCCAGCTGCCCAAAGGGATCCCATACGACACCTTGCTCAGCAATAAAAGCTGGGGTGAAGAAGGAGGAAGGGGAGACATTCACAGTTTTGGCACTGGTCTTCCCTGTGAAGTACGCCTCTGGTGGAGCCCTGCTTTCCTGCGACGGCAGAACATCTGCCGCAGTCAGAAGCAGTGAACAGGCTTCTGAATTTTGCTTTGCTTGTGCTTGCAGCAGATGTCTTGCCTTGCCTATTAAACTGTCTATATCTCAACCCATGTGCTTTCTCACTCTTACCTTTCCACTTCCCTCCCCATCCTCTTAGAGGAAGATGAGGAGCAGCTGTGTAGTGTTTCACTGCCCACTGGAGTTAAACGCAGGTCAAAGGCTTCTTTGGGGATTGTCGAGCTCACCTAGTTTATTGTCGATCTCCAGCAGGTTCTCCTCAGACCACGACGTCTTTGCTGCCTCCAAATCCTTGCTTATTTAGCCTGCATCTCTGCTCTGAGGACCTCAAGGTCTTGCTTTCTAGAAGCCTCTATGTTGTGCAAAGATGTCGTCAGAGATTGCATTTGTTCAGAGATTGCCTGCAGGGAAGTCTGGGTGTTGGCAGTTCTCCGGAGGTGGGGCTGCGTGCTGTGAGACTTCCACTTGGCTCTGCAACACAGCCAGCTTCTCAGTCAGAATCCTCTCCATCTCCCCCGCATGGATTCCAGCGCCCTTGCGGTGTTTCTGTCCACGGTCCTTCCTGCAAAGGAAGGAGGAGCACTGGGAAACTGACATTGCTTCCTGGCAAGTGCGTCCTTATCTTTCTAAAGGGGGAGAGCACTTCATCTTAGAAAAGTCAGAGAAAATGCTCTTATCATTTCAGTGCGAAGGTGGATTTTCATTGTAGCATGAAACGTTCAGTTCCTGAGATGTTTTTTCCACACAAGGGATACTGATCGTTTTGGCAGGAGGGAATTCACACAAGGGCTGAGAGGGCACTACTTAGCCGCAGCAAGAGAAGTGGGGCTTACCAAAGGACAGAAACTAGTTCCTCCCTACAGTCGCTTCCTAGGCCTTTCAGTCCCTCACAGCATTCTCCCTTACAAGTGACTCCTTCTCCATAGTCCGTGCTATTTGGGCTCTGGATGGAGGAGGAGGACAGAATGGAGAAGGTCCTTGCACCGTCCAAGCCTTGGTTTGCATAGACTGAATTCCAGAGGATGGGCAAGGAGAAGAGGCTCGGGACCCTGCCGAAGGCTTGTCAGCGTGTTGCTGGGTGGATGGAGGGCAGAAACTGCTCCACGGCATCCTCCAGGCAGGATCTGTGGTCCGTGGGTGGGATGACTCTTTGTTGATGAGCAATGTGAGTGAGAAAGAGAGGGACGGTGTCGGAGCCTGGAGGTGGACGTTCCTAGAACCCCACCTGCAACTTTCACCACGTGCAGGCATCATAGATAAACTACCAAGCCAAATCCTTTAAAGAAGAGGGAGAGAAGAAAGCCTTACCACAGCAGGCACTACCCTGTCATGGGGCTGTGTCAGTGGAGTGGGACACAAACCTCTCCAAAGAAAGGGCTGTCCTTCTCACTACCATGGGGGAACTCGAGACTAGCTCATTCAGTGGTGTCACCGAATGACACCATTGGCTTCAGAAGGCCACCAGCTTTTGGCTGGCCTAGGTTAACTGTCTTCATTGGAGCTGGTACGACGTGGTGTTTGGTTTTGTGATGAAAATGTTGTTGTTAACTGGCGGATGATTAGTTGTTCTGGGCAGTGCTTCCAACGGTCAAGGGCCCTCTGCTTGTCATCATGCTCTGCCAGGGACGGTGTTGGGGGTGCCCAAG